GTAAGCTTTCCTAGTCTAAACTTCACTTCTTCAGATGCAAATAACAAGCAACTGCTGTGTATTTGCTGTATACATCACTCCTTTGACTGCATTTACTGGTTTTTTAACCAGTGCCTGCTTCTCTGATAATATGAGTGGTGCCTGCAACAAAAGTCAGTCTTCAAGGTGCTAGTAGAATCTTGCATGCATGTGTGTTTGTCTTTTCTGAAGCAAATCTCACTGAGTTCAATTCGACTTGCTCCCAGAGAAGCTTATATGGGATTTCAGTCAGTTACCCCCCTGGAGAATTGTTTTCTCTCCCAGGTTGTCCCCCCTTGTTAAGTAGCAGCTTGGTATGATTGGGCAACAAGATCCAAGGCAGGATACATCTCACCTTTTCAGTCATCAAGAAGAGCTTGCAAACTTCCCACAGGCCCCTGGTTGGCCACTATTGAGAAGAGGATACTGAACTAGATGGGTGATTGGCCTGGTGCTGCAAGCTGTCTACTCTTAGCGGCAGTGGTACTTAAGCAGAGGTCTCTGCCATTAAAGGTAAAGGTAAAGGTACCTCTGCCCGTATGGGCCAGTCTTGACAGACTCTAGGGTTGTGCGCTCATCTCACTCTACAGGCCGGGAGCCAGCGCTGTCCGAAGACACTTCCGGGTCACATGGCCAGCGTGACAAGCTGCATCTGGCGAGCCAGCGCAGCACACGGAACACGGCTTACCTTCCCCCTAGTAAGCGGTCCCTATTTATCTACTTGCACCCGGGGGTGCTTTCGAACTGCTAGGTTGGCAGGCGCTGGGACCAAACAACGGGAGCGCACCCCGCCACGGGGATTCGAACCGCCGACCATGCGATCGGCAAGTCCTAGGCGCTGAGGTTTTACCCACAGCGCCACCCGCGTCTCTGCCATTACCAGCTCCCTGATCCTTCTAACTGGAAGCTCCAGGATTAACCTTGAAACATTTGTCATGCAAAGCACTTGGTCTGCCACTGATCTATGGTCCCTCTTCCACCAGTGGAAGAGATGCAAATTCACAGCCTGGATTCTAAGGCAGATGCAAATTGCACTTCTCCAGCTACACCCACAGTGCAGATGAAAGCACATCAGATGGAGCCATCCCAATGTGCATTATCCAATATGGAACAACGCCCATTTCTTTCCATATTATCTATCCCCATTTGTTTTCGCCAAGTAGACTATGGCAATTTTATTAACTCATGAACTAAAATGTAGGCCATGCTCCTCTCTCCCTGCTCCTCCTCATTTACCAGGTCTGTATATTTATAATAGATGAAGGGACCAAAGAACCAAACAGATTCTGCCAAGAGAATAAAGCATGTTCATATTTTATTCCTATCACAGAATTCTGAGGCACTTTCTAATGCAAATATGCTGTTCTAAGTGCTTGGAAGATTCTGGCATAAGTCGTCGTCTTCTTGTGGGCTGTTTTGCATCCTTCAGAAATGAACCAGGGAATGACTATACTTCTGTCATTATCCGTACATTACCAGTCTCCTCTAAGCCCTGTTTGGTGGAGGCACTTTCTCCTCTTAGCCTGCACCTCATTAGTCATTCTCCATGCCCACAGGTTTCCATGACAGCAGGCAAAGGAACAAAGCAGAATCGAATATGTTCTGCCGTTAGAAAAATACCAACCTTTATGTTGACTCTGAACTTCCGTCTTTCATTGATATTTCAGGGTGATCTTCTGGCTTGACAAAAATAGAGACCTGTATATTGTTTCTTCATAAGTTACAGGAGAAGCGAATGGACGATTGAACAAATGGACACATCAGACCGTGTTTTTATTTTGCCTTTGCTGAGCAACGTTGTACTCTGATGGAAGGGTGAAATTACTGACGATCTCCATGGCTGGAGTCTCAGGAAGCAGCTTTACACCTTGTGAACTGTCTAGTAGGAAGTTATGTTTCAAAATAATACAAAGCACAGCCTTCCCATAGAAAGCGAGGGAAGAATAGCTTGTGTTGGAGATCTTGTGGAACACAGACAATGGTATTTATTCGTTCTCTCTCTCTCTCGGAGCCATTGACGCAAAACGGAGGTTTCCATTAAATAAGAAGAGCTCTTTTGGTGTTGCTGACAAAATGATGAGAGGGATATCAAATCACTCATGTGAACAGCCCCCACCCCCCATGCTGCTGTAGCTAGCAGATACACATGATGGCCTGGTTCACCCACCACATTATTTTAACTATGGTTTATTAAACTATGGTTTAATGTGAAGAAACTGCAGGTGCTTTGTTCCTTCTCTTGCACTGCTGCTGGAAAACTAGACATAATCCAGCTGGTCATGTTGACTGAACCCAGGCTTGTGACTTCTCTCCCCTCCACCCCCAATTGTGAACGCCAATCCAAGAACAAACCTTCTTTGGAGAGAAGATGGGTCATGTGCCTGGGTTTGGACAATATGACACGCTAAACCATGGCAGCACAGCAGCAGTAGAGGAGAAGCCAAGTGCTCAAGTGCTTGCAGTTTCAGCAGTGTTCACCCACTGCTTGCTCGCATTAAGCCAATTTACTTTAATTGTGGCTTAATGTGATGTCCGAATCAGGTGATGAGGAAATCAAGAACTGTGTGATGTGCCCATTACACCTCCCTTCTCCCACCCCAAAGACTTGGTCATGCATTGTATCATAAGAACAACATTTTAGCATGCACATAGATTCAGACTCATACTTTGAAATTAACAAGAAGCAAATTGAAAATGGGGGTTTGTGTATGTTAAATTTCTCTTTTTCCCCCTCCTCTCCTGACTCCCAGATAACTGGTATGGGCAATTTTATTTTTTTCTCTCTTTCTTCTCTTTCTAGAATATGCAATTTTCTTGTCCGAGGAACTGCAATCTCACTCTTACTTTGATGGATCCATTTCAATTTGTTGTATTTTGAACAAGAGACTGGCAAAAGCATACCACCATGCCAAAGGGAGATGTTGGGGACCTCCTAGATTTCTGGCTAGTTTTTCATAGCTATTTGAGATTTGGGCAGCTGAAGGAGGCCAAATTCACAAACCAGTGAGAAGTCTAGGAAGCCCTAAACTCCTTTCTTTTGGCATGCTAAGTCAAATGATGGCAGACCTGTGATCTCATATCTTAAGCCTGACTTAAGCAATGTCATATGACATTGTCATATGAAGTCAGGGCAAATGTGCACCTGTAAAATTCACCCAAAGGGTAAGTTACGCTTATGGTGCTTATCTAACTAATATAGTTAAGAACATACAATGCTGTCACTTTTGAAGCTATGACAGGGGCAACTGCAGACGTCTTTTGGAAATGCACCCAGAATATCAGGATGACAGATTCAGGACTTCTGCTCCCAACAACCCACAAAACAAGGGTGTTCCAGCCCACAGTTTTACAGTTCTGCAAAAGAGGAAAAGCTAAAAAGGCGTATTGACATAGTTCCACTAAAAATATCTGCTGCAGTCCTACTTTTGCTTAATCATTCCTCTGCTGTCAGCGAGTTCAGGCTTCCATCATCCATTTTTACTTTAAACACATGGACTTTGTTTCCAAGTCATGAATAAGCATCTGCACATTTTAACACACCAAATGTTAATCTGTAGTTATTTATAGGGAACTATGCACAGCCCTTTAAAAAAAACCAACAACACAAGAAGTTGGAAGCTTTCCTTTGACATAATACGGAAGAAACAGATGGAAGGGTTTTTGGGTTGTTTTTTTCCAAGGGCAGCATTATGCTAAAACTGCAGAACAGGCTCTCCCGAGAATTTAGATAATAGCGGCAAGAAAAGAAGTGATGCATGAAGTTATATGATGCTTCTGGAAGCTACAAGCAGGGCCCATCATTATTAACATTTGCATTCCATGCTTCCTCCGAGGAGCTCAAGGTGACCCATTAAGGCAGGTTGGCCCATTTTCCCTCTCACAGCAAACCCACAGAGAGAGGTTAAGCAGAGAAATAGTGACTGGATCAAAGTTACTCCACAAGCATCATACTGAAAGCAGATTTGGACCCAGATCTCCCTGATCCACGATCCACTACCCACACTGCTTCTCTAGGAACGAGGATCATAATTATTCCTCTCTTTCTCATTTATGAACACAAGACTGAAAGTGATTTGCCCAAGGCATCAATTGAAATAATAACTGAGCAGAGAGACTTGAACTTTGCATTCCATGATTTACATCCAACACTCTTTGCACTGGAACATGCCAGCTTTCAAATCAATTTTGCTTCCCCGTCCCCACCAGGTTGTAAAAAGTTCTGTGGACTGGAAAAGCAAATGGGTAATAGCAACAGCAGTGAGGAAGAGGTGGGTGAACTAAGAGAAGGGGCCTCACTGAGAACATTTTGCCACCTCTGTTCCAGGCAATTAATTGATCATTATTCCACAGAGGGCTCTGGCAATTACTATTCTACAACCTTTCCTTCCTCTCTGCTTCCAGAGATTGGGGGTGAGGGGCAAGGGAAAGGAAAAGTTCCATTATTCAAGTGGAAGGCCTCATGATAGCAGCATGACTTTTTGGGATACAACCCATTATATAGTCCCACGTTAGTGCTATCTTAGTTGTGAAAAATGTATTTTTTGTAGCGGGGGGCGGAGGGGAGGAGGATGTGGCGTATTAACATTCTCATTATAACTCACCACACTGACAAATCAATTAAGCCTGCCAGGGCCGGATTTAGGTTTGATGAGGCCCTAAGCTACTGAGTGTAATGGGGCCCTTTATATGTCCAGCTGTCCTTTGTCAACAACAAATTGTCACTGTTTTTTGTGTTGAATATATGGTAATTTATGGACCTAATAGGTATCTAAAGCCATTTGCACATAACAAGATATGTATTTTATCCAAGTAATTGTTGAACTGAAATACAGTTAAAAAGAAGTATATTAATAATAAAACTAGGGGGGGTGCACCCAAGAGAGTGGGGCCCTAAGCTATAGCTTGTTTAACTTATACGTAAATACGGCACTGAAGCCTGCTTTCAGAGCAATCCGAAAATGAGAATCCATCAACACTTCAACATTTTTGCAAAATGGTTGTTATTAATCCAAGAAAAATGACCACATTCAAATAAATGTTTTTGGTTGGTTCATTATTATTATTATTTTACAAAATTACACTGAATTGGTCAAAAACTGACCCAAAGTCATATAAATATATCCTTCAAGTGTTCTAGTATCCGTTCCTTGGAAGTGAGAGGCAGGTAGCTAAAAATTGCCGTAAAAACAAACATTCAATCAGGACAGCCAAGAAAGTTTACTATCATGCTCATATAAAATAGAATACATGTTTGCGCTATTATGGCTGGCCTTCATCTTGACTATTGCATAGACAGCCCCCTTCAGGAGGGTTTGAGGTGGGAGGGGTTCATTGTTAAATAAAATCCAGGAGCAGGCAGATTTTTGCATATACCGTTGGTATGGAGCCTCGTTTTCTGTTTATGTAGGTTCTAGTTAGAAAGCAGGCTTGCTCATATATTCTTCCATTGTCTGCAACAAAGAACAATTAAGCTATTAACTCAGTTATTAAAATTACGCATAGACGATAATGTGACAGCAAGGAAATTGGTTCAGTACCAAGAGGTGCTTTGTAAATGATGAACATCTAGAGCACTGCAGCTAATTTGCGAAGCTAATTGGAGATCATTAACAGAATTTGTATGAATACTTGCATAAGTAGACTAATTCCCCTCTCCAGCTTAGTTTCCTAGCCAGGTGGGCTGTCCATCAAGCCAAGGGTTCAAAAATCACAGGGAGGTATATTTGGCCCAGTTAAGTGTTGCTCGCTCCGTTTACAATAGTCTAACCTAGTTCCATTTTTTTCCAGCTGCTTGTACTAAATTCCTAAGTCATTTTTTCCTATATAATAAAAAACATCCAAAACTCCATGCATGTGTGAGATATCTATCTATCTATATGGGAGGAGATATATATAAATAAATGCTAAAACCCTAAAGCAGGGGTCCCCAAACTAAGGCCCACAGGCCGGATAAGGTCCGAGGGACCCATTTATCCAGCCCGCGGCGACCCACGCCGCCCGCTGCCGACGCCCGCTCTTAGTGGCAAGGTGCTACGCAGCTTCCCACTTCCAGGTCAGAGGAGCACTGGAAATAGCTTGTGCGCATGCACAAGCGTTATTTGTGCATGCGCAAGCATTATTTCCAGTGCACATCTGGATCAGAGGAGGCCCGTGTGCACAAGCTATTTCCGGTCTTCTCTGACCCGGAAGTGTGCCGGAAATGGCATGTGCGCACGGGTATGGGCACGCACTGCCCCACCCTCCGCGTGATCGGCACTGGAGACACCAGCCCAAGGTGCGGTAAGTTTGCTGACCCCTGCCCTAAAGTGTGTCTGAGACCCATTTTACTGTCTTATGTGCTACATTTACATTGATTCCCACCACAGAGGGCTGACTCGCACAGAAGACATTTCCCCCATGAGGCATCCTGACTTTCTTTGGATACATGCCCTCAGGGATAAATGTGACACACTATTCACAGAGTCATAGATATGGTTCCCACCAGCTCCTGGTATCATATTGGCTGAGGGTTCAAAGATATCCCAGTCCAAGAGACGGGCATTTTGCCCAGCCAAAATGATCAAACAGATGCAGCAACCAGCCTAAGGAAAGCTTACACAATCTGGGACTTTTGTATAAAAGTATCCATTGTTTTTCCCCTCCCTGTCTCATAACACCAGAACTCATGGAGGTCCAATGAATATGACAGCCGGCAGAAAGTACAGTCAAACCTTGGTTGTCGAACATAATCCGTTCCTGAAACTTCCGAAACTTCTGAAACATTTGACAACCGAGGATCAAAGGGCAGTCGGCAAAGTCAATAGAGAAAAAAGAAAAAAACTCCCCAGAAGCCATTCAGCTTCCAAAAATCATTCGAAAACCGGAACAGTTATTTCTGGGTTTTCGGCGTTCAGGAGCTGAAACGTACGGTAACAGAGGCCTTCAGGAACCGAGGTTTGACTGTACTTCTTCACCCAGATAATACCTATGCTATGGAATTTGCTCCCAACTAGAAGAAGTGATGAGGGACACGGGTGTCACTGTGCGTTAAACCACAGAGCCTAGGACTTGCCGATCAGAAGGTCGGCGGTTCAAATCCCTGCCACGGGGTGAGCTCCCGTTGCTCGGTCCCTGCTCCTGCCAACCTAGCAGTTCAAAAGCACATCAAGTAGATGCAGTAGATACTATTTATCTATGCAAGTAGATAAATAGGTACCGCTCCGGAAGGTAAACGGCGTTTCCATGCGCTGCTCTGGTTCGCCAGAAGTGGCTTAGTCATGCTGGCCACATGACCCGGAAGCTGTACGCTGGCTCCCTCAGCCAATAAAGCGAGATGAGCGCTGCAAGCCCAGAGTTGGTCACGACTGGACCTAATGGTCAGGAGGAAGTGATGACCTTTAGAGGAAGTGATGACCACCAACTTGGATGGCTTTTTTTAGAAGGATTAGACAAACTCATGGTGGATAAGGGCTATCAGTGGCTACAAAGGTAGCTGGATATGCTCTACTGCTGCCAGAGGAAGTATGCGTCTGAATACCAGTTACTGAAAACCACAGAAGGGGTGAGTGTTGTGGCACTCAGGTTTCGCTGGCAGGCCTTACACAGGCATCTGGTAGGCCACTGTGCGAACAGGATACTGGACTAGATGGCCCACTGGCCTGATCCCGCAGGTGGTTCTTACGTTTTTATGTCCCAGGATCACACATTTAGATCCCTTTTTACTTCCATCCACACAAAATGCATTGCCTGGGAAGGCTAGCCACTCTGATGGGCAGGAACTTTAGTGTATGAACAGGTCCTTAGGAATTTGTAATATGTTTTGGATTGTGCTCTCTCTCTGTTTGCACAGCCAGCAGTTGCAATTACCACAGCTAGCTTATTCCAGTGATATTCACTCTAGGGCACGTAAGTGAAGCATTGAATACTGCTGGCTTATTGTCCATAACCAGCTTGACCAGAGCAAAGGCGCCAAAAACATCTCCCTTAGCATTTATTTATTCATGGCACTTTCAGTTCATGTCCGCCATATCTGACTGTTTAAAGAGGGAGCAACATTCCCACAAGGCTTTTGAATAACAGGCCCTATTCCAGGCATAGGCAAACCCGGCCCTCCAGATGTTTTGGGACTACAACTCCCATCATCCCTAGCTAACAGGACCAGTGGTCAGGGATGGTGGGAATTGCAGTCCCAAAACATCTGGAGGGCTGAGTTTGCCGATGCCTCCCCTATTCTATTTCAAAGGGGGATAATAATAATAATAATAATAATAATAATAATAATAATAATAATAATAATAATAATAATTTATTATTTGTACCCCGCCCATGTGGCTGGGTTTCCCTAGCCACTCTGGGCAGCTTCCAACAAAGATAAAAAATACACTGAAATGTCACCTATTAAAAACTTCCCTGAACAGGGATTTACCGCAAGGTCTGTTTTTGGCCCAAAACTGGGGTTGCCGCAGACAGCTCTGCTGGTTTTGAAGCTAGCAGGCAGACCATTTATGCTTCTGCTTTGCTGCGCAAAATAAATCAATAAAAATAGCCAAGCACTTTTTAGACACTAAAAGGGCTGAAATGAACATTCCATCAAGGATTCAGCAAACAGTGTGAGTAACTGATGGTCACTTTTTCTATAAGAAAAACAACCAACACAAAGAGCTTCTGAATAGTTCGAGCCAGGGTTTATAGAATGCCAAATGCGGGTGGGAAATCACACAGCAACAGTCATCTATTTGCCCACCAGTCTGCTATTTATAATTTGCAAGAGTTAAGCTGCTACTTACACCAGAAAACCAAAGGACATTTACTTAGGAATAAGTCCACTGAACTCCATGAGATTTCTCAGTGAACATGGATAAAAAAGGCTGTAAAACACGCACCTCCTAATGCTCTTTGACTTTTGACTTAGACAGCAGAACATTTATTAGCAAATAAAGGCAAGCACATTATTGGAAGATTTGTGTCATTTGTACCTGCACCGGGGGGGGGGGGAATTAAGTTTACGTTGTATGAATGAATATTTACAGTGAAGATTGTTTAAATCGGTTTTCACCAACCTAGTTTCTTCCAGGTGTTAAGACTACATTGTGCCTCATCCTTAACCATTGGTCACACTGTCTGGGGCAGATGGGAGTGGGGGAGTCCAACAACAACTGGAGGAACCAGGTTAGGAAAGGCTGTTTTAAGGATATTTTATTTTAAGGGGGGTTTTGTTTGTTTGTATCTTTGTACATTTTTGTGGTCTGCCTTATTCCATTCACCTGGCATTTGTAGACTTCATTTGGTTGTGACCTACAGCCCAAGCAATAAAACTTGAGCCAAACTGGGCATCAAGAGTAAAAATAAAATGACAAGAGAGTAGAGAGACCTGGATTTAGCTTCTCTCATACCTCTCTTACCTCTTCTTACCTCTTGTAACATATCAGCATCTTCTATAGCTTTCACTGCAGATTTTTTGGAAGTCTCTTGAATTTCCCCTCCCATCAGAAACTCATCAAGAATAAAGTATGCTTTTTCAAAATTGAAAATAATATCCAGTTCACACACCTGGTAAGGATTACAGAGAGAAATATTCAGGCACACTTATTATGGCATTGAGTGTGGTTATATGCACAGCCTCATCAAAAACCTGTTCTGTGTGTGCACCCTGGTGGCAGGCAGAGAACAATGGAAACACAGGACTGAAAGCATTAAGGAGGTTTCAACATGATAATATTTCAAAGGTGAGGAAGCATGCCATGATCATTTTACTTCCTTAACCACCAAGTTATCTTTTCAGTTGCACACACGTGCACCAAGTTACCTCTGACCTTTCACTCAGGGCTTGCATTTTCCTTCAATCAGTTTTGTCCTATAGGTATAGGGTTAAATCAGGGTTTCCCAAACTTGGGTCCTCCAGCTGTTGTTGGACTACAACTCCCATCATCCCTAGCTGGCAGGACCAGTGGTCAGGGACGATGGGAACTGTAATCCAAAACAGCTGAAGACCCAAGTTTGGGAAACCCTGGGTTAGACCAAAACAACGCCATACCTATATATCAAACTGACTTCATCATACCTCAGGCATTCCCCTTTCTCCACAGCATGCACACCATGCAGAACAGCAATGGTAACCAGAAGGCTGGCGTTTGGAGCCCAGCCAGGGCTGGCTGTGGGCAGGATTCTTGCATTGCTGGGGGTTTGACTAGATCACCCTTAGGATCCCTTCTGTCTCTGCCATACTATGAGGCAGGGTTAGGGTTAGGGTTAGGGTTAGGGAACCCTAATCAGGCACCTCAGACATTGCAATGTTCCAGAAATGCCTGGTGCATTTATTCAGTTAGATTTCCCAGAATGGTTGACCCCACTGATGGCCCAAACTGATTTTTAAACTCCTCTGCCACTCACTAAGTGACTTCTATCCCACATCCCCTCCATGGTACTCAAAGTGGCATACAGTGGTACCTTGGTTGTCGAACTTAATCTGTTCCGGAAGTCCCTTCGTCTCCCGGAACCATTCAAAAACCAAGGCGCGGCTTCCAATTGGCTGCAGGAGGCTTCCTGCACTCAATCAGAAGCTGTGTCGGATGTTCGGCTTCGGAAAAACGTTCGCAAACTGGAAGACTCACTTTGGGTGTTGCGGCACTTGGGAGCTGATTTGTTCGGGAGCCAAGCTGTTCAACAACCAAGGTACCACTGTACATGGTTTGCCCTCGCTTTCCAACTCATATACCTGTGGGCTGAGAGACAGTGACTGGCTCAAAATCACCCCATGAGCTGAGTTGGGGTTTGAACCCTATTCTCCCAGGTCCTGGTCTTGCATTTTAACCACTACACCACAGAGGCTCTTTAAGTACTGGGTGAGGAGAAGCTATTGCAGGGGAAGACAGCCAAACTACTGTAGAGGGGCATGGACGACACCATGCAAAAGCAGTTGTGGGGTGTCATAGTCATCATGTACTAAACATAGTGCACTCTGTGCACGAAAGCCAGAATTAATTTTTACTCCAAAACTCACTGTTGTGCATGTGTACCTGATTTTTTTTTAAAGTGTCATATTTATTAGCGCTCACCATTTTTTCTGTGACACATTTGTCTTTCTTGGCGATTTCCAAGTTGTTTTAGCATTTCCGCTAATCATGTCTTCCTTCCAATTAAAAACAGCTTCACCCAGCCCCAGATGTCTCAACGTGAACTTTGCTCAGTTGTCCATTTATCTCCATTTATGCTCCCCATGTTTTTGCTCTCTCCTCCTGCTCTGACTTTTATAAAGGCTTAGCCTTATTTGTACGTGGAGGACCAGAGAGGAAAATAATCAGCCTACAGACAGGCAATGGGGGGGGGGCAACAGCCCTGGAGGTGGCTTTGCAGTACCAGAAAGCTGGAGTGGGATGTTTCTCAGCTGTTGGTGGATTTTATTGCTGCAAAAGAAGCGGTCTGTGGAATGAAAGACCTTCCTAATTAACAGGAGCCTCTCGCTATTTATGCATTAAATTATTGTGTGGATTTCTCTCCCACCTTTCTCAATGAAACGAAAAAGTGAGTTCCAATATAAAGGCACAATGAAATTGTAGAACTCTGTGAAAGCTACAAGGCAGCCCTACATTAAAAGCCCTGCAGTGGTCAATGCTCTAGAGATTGCCAGAGCACAGATAACTGTGGCGAGGTTGTCTCTGTCCAAGAAAAACAGCAGGTTGAGACTCACTGGGCTTCCTATGCTTCAAACTTGATCTTTTAGAGAAGGCAAAGAGGACCTGTGGCCCTCCAGAGGTTGTGGTGGTTGTTTTCATAGCAAAGTTTCCCCCCCAAATAACTCTTTTCAGTTGAAACAGAATATCTTTACAGAAAATGGCCCAGACCTGTTATCCTAAAAACAAAACACAAACAAACCTTGCAGGGAATCTCAAGTCAGCTCTGTGGACAGAAGAAACAACAGACAACATTCAACAGATATCTGACAAGGAAAACAAGCGGAGGCAGGTGTTTCTGGGGGAAACCTAGTAAACTTACATTGCCAAAATATCTGTCCAATAGCTCTACATAACGATGGACAACTTCTAGGGTCAAGAGTTCGTTATCCTGCTCTTCAACTGCACAGCAGAAATATAAACTAGCGTACCTGAAATTTAAAAATATGAAAATATATTGAGACCTATCAGCATTAATATTCACGCTCTTTACACGGTCAGTTACCCTGAAATATTTTTTCCCCCGGTTGCTTTTTCACATAATGAGTCAATTTATCTCAAAAGCAAGGAGAATAGCCCTTAATTAATTAGGCCTTTCATATAAATCCATCTGACTTCCTTGCCAGCACTAATGAAAATGACAGGATGAACATCATTTCAGATATGCAAATGTGGGCAGTTTTTGGTGCAATAATCAGAAGTAATGATAATGGAATCGGAAATAAAAGCTTGCTTTTTATCACATAAATCTCTCACAGCTCTGCATCCGATGCTATTATAATTGTGTTCCTTTTCGTTATGCTTTCATACAGGCCAGGTATTATATCTTCTCCTTTTCTCAAAGGCACAGGTGGAAGGGAGTAATGGTCACTGTGCATAAAGATGCTGGGGTGCAACTTGCCCACACAGCCTCATGACTGTTCTCACCAGTGCTTTTTTTTCCTGGGGGGGGGGGAGATGCAGGGGTCCGCAAACCCCTAAACATTTTGTGAATCAAAGTTTGGCCTCATTGAGGGGCAGTATTTCAATATGAGTAGGGAAATGAGAGTACCCCTAAACATTTTTTTTTGGGGGGGAGGGGAAGCTCTGGTCCTCACACATCTTTTCTGGGACCTTAAGCTTGGATACAGACAACAGCTGTTGAAAGAACTGAAGGCTGTGTCACAGAAAAACATTTCCCCCTTGTGACAAGCACTGACGTATATATTTTCTATCCCATTACAGGAGGGAAGGGGAACATTTTTCAATCCAAGGGCCACATTGCCTCATGGGGGTGGGCCTTCTGAGGGCCACATGTCAGTGGTGGGTGTGGCAAAAGTAGGAAAGGCCGGACAACACCACTCTCTGTTTTCCATTCTGCAAGCAAGAGTGATCACGGTTCAAGGACACATTCCAGCCAGGCAGAATAGCTAGAGGAAGGTGCCCAGCAGGGTCAGTGAGGGATGCAGCCTGGGCCAAGTCCTGACGGTAGGGCAGAGAGGCTAGAGGGCTGAATTGGCCCTGGGGTGTGTTGCCCACACGGACACAAAACTTGTATACGTTTTGTAGTGCTTCATACCGAGGACCAAACTCCAAATTATATTAAATATGTCCTTTTCCTTGTGGGTCTGGTTTTCCCTTTCAAAATAGCATATACATGAGGGGTGTTCATGGATCAAGTGCGTTTAACTTGTCTTTTTCTGCACAATCACCCTGACAAATTCCACCACCGCCATCAGACTGCTGGAGAATAAACACCAGAGAATAAACAGCAGTTTCTTCAGTCCTCATCCCACCCCCAACCCCCGAATTAGAAAGGGAAACACAAGCAACACAGGGCAAAAACTGTGTTTACCAAAAACCTGTTAATTTGGCCCTAACATATGAAGGGGATTGATCTGTTTTATAGCCACAAGCGACAATGGTCTTATCATATCGCCTTCAAGGTTTTGCCAAGCTATGATCTTCCAAACGTTCTTTCACACACCATGTTCAGAAAGGGAGCTTCAAAAAGTTTGAACATTTCTGTACTTTCCTTTAAAACTGGGACAGCCTCTAGCATTCAGAAACACCCAGTGGAACAATACAGAGGAAGATCAATGCACTGGCATCCCATGAAAATCATTGCGAGTCCAGCACTTAATGGCAACTCTTGATGCCCATTCATTTAAAAGGCACTTCAGTAGATTTTATTATCTCAGGGAGGTGCTCTCCATGTTCACTCCTCATCTCAAATGCTGGCTCCAATTAAGTGATGTAAAGCAGGAGTGGGGGACCCCAGGCCCGGGTGCAAAATGTGGCCTTTTTTTTAATCTGGCCCTTGGGACTCTCTCCATATCATGCTGGGTCATCCTGCCAGAGGATGTCAATGCACCTCCTCTAGCCAAATTAGTTGGCTCCAGCTTCAATTTCCTGTTTAGTGCTTCATTGCCTTGATGCATCTGCCACCCCCACTGTCTTGAATAATGCTCCTCAAAATTAGAACTATAGCAGGGATGCAGCCCACCAGACCTCTTTCTCTGGCCCTTGGGACTCTTCTTTCCCAAACCACACACCTTGCCAGCCCTACTTTGCACCCTCAAATGTTTCTGCATGGCTGGAATGTGTCCTTGAAATCCCGATTGTGCCTTTTGCTTGCCTGGGTGCAGGACAGAGGTGTGTGAGAGTTTGCATAGAAACTAGCCTAACATATTTACATTTATTGCTCCACTATCAACTTCTGCCTCTGGTCCCATCCATTGGCATGCAGCCCCCAGAAGGTTGCCCAGAATGGACAGTGGCTTCTGGGCTGAAAAATATCCCCACCCCAGTGTAAAACCTTAATCCTTTGATATAAACAAGCATGTCATGTTTCTTATGACAGGAATTAGTGGAATTCACTGGGCACAGGCTTCCTTCAAGAGATCATGCCTGCTGCCTTTTTTCTTTTTCTTTCCTACTAGTGGTAAGTACTACAGACATTTTGAATGATGTTCCTCTTGTTTGTCAGTTCACTCCACCAACGCAAACTAGATTGATTTTGTTTTGTTGTTACTTTGTGCTGCTTCTATGTGAAGCAACATGCTTTGTGTAAAAAGCCGACTTGTAAAACTACTCACACCTTTTGTAAACAAGCTTGAGGTCTTTCCAGTCAACAAAACTGCTCATTTTCTGGTTGCGAGACAAAATAATCTGCACAATTTCTCGGGTGATCTTTTTCTTCTCTTTTTCAGGCAGTGTAATAAACCATTTCTGGAGTCTTAATTTCCCTTGCCGGCTGAAGAGCAGTATAAACTGCATCTAGAGTAAACAAAACCATTTGGGGTAATATTGAGACAAAGACCAACATAACCTGCATTAACGAAACTGCATTTGAGTGAAAATATCTGCCCTGTTATCAAGGAAAACACTTAAAGTTCAGGAAATGATGGATAATAATGGTTTCAAGAGAACCTAGGGTTGCCCTGGGCTGGTTCAGGTGTAAAGTACGCAGAGATTGCGTACTTTAACCAAACGCAACTAGCTGTCTTCCTGAACTTTTAAACAAGCAATTGTCATGTGCTGTGCAAGTTCAGCTACATTTGGTTGCTTCCAGTCAGGGCCATATCAGTAGTCCTTCAAAAGATCTTCAGCTTGTCGTTTTCCCATGTAACCAACTGTGCTGTTTTTTTACATAGGCTGTAGGTGAAGATCCCAGTGGCCTTATTTATCAGGTTCATGCCTGCAGTAACCAAACACCACTATAAAAGAACAGAAAAACAGTGCATACCTGTGACTGCTGAACACACCTATCTGGGTAAACCCAAATACCCCCAATGCAAACACTGCAATTATCAAAAGATGACGTCAGATTTTGGACAGGATTGTTCAGAACACACCTCAGTCAGAGTGGGGTGGGCCACCTAAAGTGGCAGGATTTGAGATTTCATTGAATGCATTTTATTTAATATACATTTCGCACATTTAGGATGCCACTTTTTTCTCCAAGAGCAACATATCTTGCATGATATGAGATATCCAAGTCATGACCCATCATAATTATGCACAAAAAATAGCAAATATTTTATATCTGTTAATCACTTTTCTGCTTACAAAAAGGTCTGTGTGTTATACATTGGGATCGTCCACTTACCAAAACACTTTGGAGTTAAGTTGATTGTGACTGGCTCAAGGTCATGCAATAGGTTTCATGGCTAAGCGGAGACACTGGCTGTTAAATGACATAAACCAGGAATGGGAACCTGCGGCCCTCAGTCAGACTGCAACTTCCATTTGCCCTCACCAACACGGTCAATGGCAACGATGGGAGTTGTTGTCCAACAACAACAACTACTGGAGGATCATAGGTTCCCCATCCCTAATGTAGATTTTATTCCAAAGATGGGAAACTTTTCCAACCTGGCAGGCTGGATCCTTATCTCCACAAGCTCCGTGGGCCACCTATCAATCACCAAATGTCCTTATGATGGCAGGTGACAACAAACCTTTTGAAATGTGTTTCCATGCAGTTTATATTGAAGTGAAGGCTGTAACTTTACCTATCTCTCACTCTGTATCACATACAACACCAGGGACAAGACAAATAGGTGTGGTTTATGGAAATAACCCAAGTGGGCCAAATTTGAACCCCTGCCACGGGCCAGAGGCTGGGCACTGCTGCTCTAGTCTAATGATGACAAAGGTCACAATCTGCTCCAAGATGAACAAAGCACATGACTTGAAATTGTCTCAGCTTTTCAGGTAGACAGAATTACTGTATTTACATATAACAGGAAGTCCATCTGAAGAGGGTGCACCCACTTCCTGCTTCCTGATCTACTGCAGATACCCATAAATCCCTGTCTATCTTCCGCTCAGTCCTGAGTTCAAAGACACCAGTAGCATAGCCCTCAAGAGTTCTTGGCAGTCTTCAGCTTGTATTGTGCTCTAGGCCAGTGTTTCCCAACCTTGGGCCTCCAGCTGTTTTCGGACTACAATTCCCATCATCCCTGACCACTGGTCTTGCTAGCTAAGGTTGATGGGAGTTGTAGTCCAAAAACAGCTGGAGGCCCAAGGTTGGGAAACACTGCTCTAGGCCACAGTCTTCCTGGGCCGCCGAGCAAAAGTTTCTGTTGATTTAAAGAACTGAGTCACTTTGGGTTCAGTGACATCTCATCCGTTCGACAATATTTCTCAGCCTGAGGCGATCAATGCGTGGTCCAAGAGGAAAGGTTCAAAGCAGCGAACAAGAGAACACAGTGTGCTTTCCTGTTCCCTCTCCTAGCGTGCACCACAGTGACATAATTAAAAGGGAGATACAAGTGGCTTAATTAAGTAACAGTCGTCAAAATTAATTTGGGCTCCTGGCTCTCAGTCAGATTGCTCATCCATCTACACGGGATACTTCACCTTGCGTCTCTGAAACAGAAGTAACGCTATCTGCTTGCAATATGCTGTGTATATGGAAGGTGGGTGGTGAGAGGAGGAAGAGAGCATAAGAGACACTTGTTGCCATGGGAGACACACAGCAGCTACTTATAGTAAAGCCACCAGGGCAGCAAAAAATTCAAGGTTTTTGTTGTTGCTGTTAACACTATTTTTTTTCTCCAGATCATTTCACATTATTAGTACAAGCGGCACATCAGCAAGCTCTAAAGGCAGGACTAGAATTTCGTTATCCCTGCTACGCGACAAGTTATTTTTATATTTTTCCAGCCCCACATTCAGCAGCATAAGATTTTCATAAGCATTCCATCTGCTGGGGGAAGTGGCCAGCCTTAGAATGATCGCCAACATTCTGACTTTGTACGTTGAAGTGAAAGAGTCAATAGCTATGGAAACCCTCCTAGAGCATAGGGTCAAGATCAGCTGTCATGGCAAGAAAAGGAGAAGGAGGCCTGAATAGGTCAGTGGAACGGCGACAAGGGCAGCAAGAACCAGTGCACTTATCCTCAAAATCCCCCTTGCATATTAATTTAAGAAACTGTATTAGTGCCTGAAGAGGGCTTGGAAACCATGTGTTGTAATGAGAATGCACTACAGTGAGCCTCTCCTGGGAGGGGAAGAGAACGAAAGCTTCCATCTGGGATTTGTAACAAGCATCAGTTTTCCATTACGTCCAAACAAAGGAAACTTCGATTTTCACAGGCAACAGTTGTTAACAAGCCAGGATATCACTCCAGGAGCAAACTGTGGTTTCCTGGTTTCCTGCTTAAACACAGGCTTTCCTACTTAGACACTGCAAAGAAGCATTTCAGTTAAACACATTTTAAACTTTGTATGAGAACTTGTGTTGGCCAAAACAGAACTCCACGGCGCCATCTGGTGTCACAGTGTTATAATGTATACACAACGCATATAAAAAGCCTTTTCTTTACCAATCTAGCCGAGTCCATAGTTTGCGCAAACCACGGTTTCCTGCATTTCTTTGTAGTTTTTGTGCTTTTGTCCAAACTGCAAGTGGAAGTCTCAGCTCTTCTCCCCCTTGTATGTAAAAAAAAAAGGGGGGGGAGCAGGAAAGTCTGAAGCTCACCACAGCATGATCTTATAACAACAACATCAGAGTTGGTCTTTATGTCTGAATGAAGCTTAAATCAGGACAACACACACCAAAGCAGGGGCTTAAGGAAATAGCAAGAAGGGAGTGAAGAGGCAAAGGAAACTGGCATACCTATATCAGAGAGATATAGGTTTGCTAGGCTCACAGCCTTGAAGAACCCTGATCTACAGGAGTGTGCTCACACCAGCGCCTTAGAGCACAGTGGAGATGTGTGCGTTTTTAGTGTGTTTCACAGTTTCCCCTTCCCAGCTGCTCAAATCAGTGCAACTTCGCTAGTGTCGGACTAGTTTTCGTTAGTGTTGACAGCGGGGATTGTCTGACCTTACACACAATCTTAGCTAGAGATGCATTTGGAACAGCTTATAAGGACCCCAATCAGCATGAAGCCAGATTGAGAAGCAACATATCAGATAGTCTTTTATATCAAAGTGCAAGATACATATGCAGCATTGTGAACATGGATTTAAAACCCAGCGCTAGAAACACAGTGAGTACAAAATAAATCCTTCAAAACAACTAGTTCCTGAAATTCATTCTGACTGCGCAGATAAAATATAACAGATAGAGTTCTACAGGATGTGTTGTTATAGTGTGTGGAAACAGTTAAGATCCAAGGATCCCCAGCCATGCACCTCCAGATGGTAGAGGCATCAGGCAGCATTTTAGCTCCTGGGCATCTTCACTTGTTAACAAGTGGCCAATAGCCAGGTGCAAAATGCTCCTGGCGCCTGGCAAATTTTGATCGCTGCTTGGGGCGTAATCTTCTGCACCCCCTCCATGAAAGGTTCTAGGTGTAAATGTATGTAAAATATGTTCAGTTTCTGTTAATTGATTCTCATGGGAAACTTACAGATTCTGGCTTCGCACAATTAACTCAAGGCAGTGTCAATTTACTCTTGGCAGAAAGCCCAGGTCTGCTTGACCTAGAAACTACTTACTCTGATTGGTTAACGACCAGCACTCAACTCTGTTATCTAGGGATTGCTAGCACAGTGTGATGTGAGGTGTGTTAGGAGTTGGAGTAGAAGTGCTGTGTATGGTTTTGAGAGAGAGAGAGAGAAAGGATTTATTTTGCTTTGATTTGTATGCAGAAACTCTGCTGGTTTTATTTTTTCCTTTTTAATAAATCCTGTAAATAGTTATTCTGAGTCTAGCTGACTAGTCATTACCGCCACAACTAGCTTCCTCGCTGTGCAGGAAAACTCTGCTACGTTTGGGCTAAAGCCAATAGGGCTATGCCTGACACTTCAAAGTTCCATGAAAATAAGCCATATTTCTTAAAGGCCTCCACTGTGCCTCCATTTCCCAACAGACACACAACCTTGGGTGAGCACCTGGAACCCTCTGGATTCCTGCTACCGCTTCACATTTATCATATTTGCTTTTTTAAAAAGCTCTTGTCTACCTGCGGAGTCTGACCTTCCTCTCCTACCCAACCCACCTTCACTGGCTGATCTGGTGCATAACTCGGGCCTCCTCAAATAGGGCCAGGCTCAGTAACGGAATAATTTTTTTATTAGATAATGTTTCCGTGACAGAGTGAAGGACAAGCAATGGAGAAGAGCACAACATTCCCGTGGAAACTGGGTACACGCAAGGGGAATCAACAGCTGGAATATAGCAAGGCATGTGGCTTGCTTCCAGGGAAGGTCGTACTAAATGCTGCAAAACCCTTGAGAAAAGCAAAGAAGCCATTTGGCTGGCAGCAAAACCTCACACTGGGCCCAGGGATGAGGGGGAATGTCGTCTGCAGCGACAGAAA